TTGCCTTTTCAAAATCAAAAGTGATGATACCTGTGACAGTAATACAGCACGAAATGTGTACATCAGCATGTGCCTCCTACAAATTAAGACTTGTTTTTTTGATAAACTGTGGTTAAATTCGTAATAATAGCTCCATAGTCCTGTTGTTTTAGCAGCATTTTTTTTTTGGCCGAATTATTTTTTTCGCCCTCTCGCATTAGTTTTGGGGTCTTCAGAGGATGTCATCCATAACATTAAATCAGTGTGGCCTTAGGTCGTTTCTACGTATATGCACTTAATCCGCCCGCGGTCTTCTTATACGTATGTCGGTAATACATTTTTCTGCCACCAGCCATGTTGGTTTTCTATTTTTATTCGTACATGCGTAGCAACATATTCTCGATTTACGATCACCGCTATTATAAGCAAGTCATTCTGAAACATCCGCGAATTATAGTCCAACGCCGTGAGGTGACGCGTTATCGTCTCACTCTTATTCACTATTCGTGATATATTTAAAATTCAACTTTGACCTCCACAGCTATCAAACATATCGTAATGCGGCCTACATATTAAGGAGTGCCATTCAAAAATTCATCCAATGTTTCAATTGCCATAGTTACCAGATATGCGTGGGGTGGGTGTGCAACTACGTTTGTCTAGATACTAATTGATATCCGGACAATATTTCAGCGTTGTCTATGCATAGTCGTTTGAGGCATGGCTCAATTCTTGTATTACACTCAACGACCTCGCATTGTTGAGCAGAACAGGGAAGGTGGCAGAGGACAGACACGCAAATACTGAGGTGATTGACAGAAGCGAGAATGACAGATGATTGGCTGTTGAAGAATAGATCTCCGATATATGTCATGAAAGCAATCTGTCCTACAGCTTAGAGCGTTTCGGTCGAAAATATTTAACATTTTGTTATAGCTATTGTGAAAATGAGTGCTTTGCGAAGGCCGAATGTAACCGGTTCCATATCTGAAGAATCGGGGGGGGGGGTAACCTATTTAGACAGCAAATCACGTATACCTTTCCTATGTGAGCACCACCCGGACCCAAACAGTTGGAGTAGGCCTCGTGACCCAAACAGTTGAAGGTGACAGCACAACACATAATACACTACGCCCTGAAACCCACACTGACCCAAACTTTATTCTTTTGTGTATACTTCAAAAATAAACCCCCTCTCTCTCTTCTATATTACCCGTCATTCATTTCTCAAACTCTGTCAACTGTAGTTATCCTGATAATATGATCGTTTTACCAACTACCGGTACTACCAATGAACGATGGGCGTGACGTCCGTCGAGCGCTGAGAATGAAAGTCGCAGACGACGAATATTTTATATTACAATTTTAAGTCGTTTCTTGAAACGAAAAAGCATGTGTCTTCTATTAACGTGGTCGCACTTAGAGCTGTGCTATTAGGAATATGTTGTTTTTCTCACTATCTGCGTAAATGAAAGGGAAATGGAAATGTTCCCGTTGATCGAAGATATACGAGTATATACGAGGTTCTTACTATAACCGTATTGAAATAGGAATTTTCACTAACTCTCATACAACAAATACACCTCTCACTGCCATGGGTTCAAGCAATCGGAGAAAATTGAACAAATTACCTCGTTTTGTTTAGTTTGTCACGAAAAGCTAAATTTGGCTAAATTTTCTTTTAGCATTGTATGTAGTATAAGTGAAATTGTACTTGTTCTTTGAGCAAATTGTCTATGATGATTTTTGCAATAAACTAAAATAAACCAATGAGATGTAATTAAACATGTTGTTTTACCAATCCAGTTGCAATCGACACATGCTCCATCGCCCAATTAAAATACACCGCTTGTTTTTGATTTGGCGTAACTAGCCAACCCTATCTACTTTTTCTCAATGCGCAAAATGGGAAAGAAACGAACGAAAACTAAAACAACGAACAACGGCGCATCGATCCAATTACGGTTATTAATGGGTTAACCATTAGAAACTCTAGGGCGATGGCAGAGTTGAAGAAAATGAAATTCACAAGGAAAAATAAAAAACATCTGAAAACCCTTTTGAAATCAAACCTTATGAAAAAAATATTTCACAAATAAGTAAATAAAAAAAATATCGCAAAAAAAAAAATAGCACAAAACTAAATGCAGGGGGAAATGTTTTGCGCAGTTTTTTTTTTTCTGTCATTGCGCCACTCAGAGCTTCTAATGGACCAAGCTTAGGTCATTAAAATTATTCCAAGGACATAATTATGAAGCAATTTATTGTTCGAAACAAATTTTATTACAATTTACCCAAGCCCTGGGCGCATAAAAAAACAGAAGGCTATCCTTAAGTTGCCGACCGGCTTTGGTGAACAAATGATAATACGCATGCGCATTAGTCAACTCATTCTCAGTTGGCGGGGGGGGGGGTCATCAAACTACCTCGTTTTGAAAACACTATACTGGTAGGTGACGGACAGATTATTATACTTGCCATTGTTTTATTGTACCTGTAACAGTTTATTAACCTATATATATATATATATATTATGGCAGAGCTGAAGCAGCATAATTTAATGTAATGAGTGTGAGGTACAGCGGCAAATCACTGGAGGAGGACAGTCTCGATTTTGAGGTCAGTTTTTCAAAAGGCCCAACCCGTCTCATCGGTAATTTCAAATAACAACCAGGCGGCCACACGCTTATTCCCAATGCTCATACCCAGTAAAACAGGTGTTTTCACTTCCGCTTTCAAAATGCATTGTCTAAGGGTGAATGTATAATATATAAACATTTAGCGGCGATCATAGACAAAATAGTCTGCCCGCTAGTGTAGGTACGAGCAAATACGGCGTAGCTATAGTGTCAATTAGGAAAAAAGTATTTTCCAGTAATTTATGCAAGTTATGCAGTTACGCGAGAATTCTAGTATTTTCTTGGTCTTTGTTTACGAAACGAGTTGACTCCCGCAAATGGAGTTAATTATTAATCGTCACGTGATGTCAGATGTTGTTGAATGGTTTGGCAAATAAATCAATTCGTCATATGTTGTTTATGAGTCGACAGCTCATTTACAAGATAGTAAAGTTTATTTTAGATTTGGAACACGAACAAAACAAACAATTAGTTTGTCCGGTAACAATCCATAACCCATTCCAACAAACGTTTGATTTTTTTACTGGGTGATGCAATCGTGTATTCACCGAGACGGTGCCACTCACAAACGAGGCTGTGGAAATAGTAATAAAAGGGTCAGGGTCACGGAGCTCATACGAGTTGAAGTAAGCGCCGAGCATTTAAATATACGAAAACAGAAAATGGCGATATAAATAGTTTCAGAATTAATCAAATATCATGACATATTAAATAAAATACTCATTCTCTACAAACATATCCAATGTGTGGCGATATACAGCATTTCAACCGACATGGTTTTGTTTTCAACTCGTAAACACTCACAGAACAATGACCACAGCTGACATGAAATCAGCTGACTCGGCCATGTTGTTGTTTTTTTCGGAAATTTTATTTTAAAAATCACTCAGCTAGTTCAGAAAAATCTGTCAAAAATCGACTACTCAGCTTTTATCGGACAGCTGCGATATTCTAATATAATGAATACAAAAGAAAAAAATATTTTCTTTGTTTAAACCGAACTGCTACAATTTGTGAACTCAATGACTGAACGTAAAAATGTATGTACAAAGTGAACATATCAGACAAGACAATGAACATGAGCTGATTTTAACGAAGGAATAATAAAACCTAAACACACAGAAAATGTGAAAAATAAATGGCCACCGAGACAGCGGCGCTCCAAAATTTCCCTTCCTTTTAAGCTGTGACGCACTAGAAAATCCAATATGGAGGAAGAAAATGTAATTGAATAAGGGTGTTTACCTTCGAGTTTGAAGAGATTTTTCCTGGATTCTACTGTTCAACTGATAAGAAATTGGGGATATACTACCATATCGATTCTCCTGGAATGGGCTTTGATAGCCTCCATCTCAGTTTTGAAGAGAATGACCACCAAATGCATCACTTTTTGTGACTATACTCGAGGCTGTAGCTGTGCTGAATGACGCTGGAATGGTCCGGCTGATGAACATAAACAACTCGCCCACGCAAATGGGTATTACTTGTGAGCATGCGCAATTACCAAGGTCGCGCCACCCATTGATAATCGCTTGACAACCCACCGATGACGACCAGAACATTCTTTCGAATTTAGAACCTCGTGGGTTACTAAAGTTTATATGTTATAATCAAATATAATACCAGTTCTTGGCAGTAAAAAATGTTATGTTAATAAAGGAAAAGAATGAAAAAAACGTGCTTGAAAGTGTGATGTGTGTACGTTCCTTTACTGGATGGCACATATACTGTAATAAATATGATATCTGTTCGTGGTTTCCACCAGCACCGTGGCGATACACTTCTCCACGTTCTTAGCTAGCAACCGCTGAAATTATCTTATCAGTTTCAAGGACCGTTAGCTGCACGATAAATGAGTATTTGGTAAATACTCAAATTTCGTACACGAGATGTCGTGGCAGTCAGTGCTCACTCGGCGAATCGTCTGATATGGGCGTGGATCCAGACATTGAACATTGTGTGTGGGTTAATTACAGTCAGTATAAACTCATCAGGGCCTAATGTCAGACCATGCGCAAGTAGGCTGCGCGTTAGGATTCGGCTTTCTAAAGTAGCAAACACATCGTTCTCTCCCAACATATGCTGACAGAACCGCGACAGCTGATCTGTCGCCTTGGCAACAACGACGTTATCCCCGACGCTGCGATGCCTTTGTCTTCATCTCTTTCCCAGAGTTCCCCGCCAGACATCATACGACACGATATACCTAAGTGTGCAGCAGTATCCCGACAATTGCAGTCTGCAAGTCGAAGTCATCACATTCGCCTCGTAAATTTCGCGTGAATTATCGATTATTATTTTATCTGCTGTCACCAAACGCGAGCCAAATTATTTCTTATCATTTTGAGTACCTATCAAGCCATTGTTTTCTCTAAGCACGCTGTCCCCTTTAATACAATCAAACAAATAAAAATCTTCACAAATCTGAATATGAATATTAGTATTGTTATAATTGCTGAATTATGGATGTTGCATATAACAAATGAATAGGGATAACTTACTGAGTTTACTGAGCGTTCAATTATTGGTCTGATTTCTACTAATCAATACAACTTAACCTACATTCTGCATGCGTTAACTCACAATGTAATCACGGCGATTGCAGACGTGGTCGGTTTGATATTTTCTAGGTACACACTGACAGATTCTGTAAGGGAACTTAAATATTGCCATTTACAGTATTTAATGTGCGGTGCTCCTCATACGCACCTGTATTCGTCATATGATACCCATGCGGTACACGATGTGCCGACCACCCTCGTTAACAATCTACGTATGAGTATGTACACATCGAGAACAGGTTGTACGATGGCAATGATCCACACTTCACAAACTAAGTTCTGGGCGTACTATTTCTCACACCATGACCATGGCCACTTACGCCATAGTTACGATTTGGACGTACAAACACACCGGCCACACTTAAATACCTGAACTAATCGTCAAACCCAACAGTTTGCGTGGCGATAGGAGAGACACATTTCTATTCTTTTCGACTGAAGCTCACTTCACATTACATCCCGTGATAGGCGTGGGTTTTACAGAGCTTGATTTTGCCTAAAATTGGCCGCCCACAACTATATCACATGAATGTGTCGACAACAATGACACAATTGTGTGTGCTTAAATCATTCTACACTTTAAAAATACGTGTTGTGTATTCTTTTCTTTATAAAGTTTCATAATTGTGTATATCTATATACGATACAGTGCTTCGTTATTATGTGGCGATATCATGACGATCACACACACTAACGAACTTTCCGGACAAGATAAAACGGGAAAGTTCTGCGTCAGACAGAATAATCGTTATCAGCGCTGTGTCAGATACTGCTCATACCCCTGTGTGCTAAATAACTGGGTGGTGAATATCCGTATCATTTGGGATGATTTGTAAATAATAACAGACTTCCTCCCTGTGCACCAACAAAGATTCGGAAATGACGTCATGTGTGAGACCAGGTAGTTGATAGTCCCACATCGTAACGTTGTTAGGCGAACACCGGTGAGACGATTTTACAAGATCATCCACGCATGGGTTTATGGCTTACTTCCTACATCGAAATAATAATTAGTTGCGCAGATCGTGTCCGTATCTTCCGCTCTTCGCAATTTAACATTATGATGTGCTGCCAACATACCTCAATTTAGGGGTCACAATTTGTATTCAATTTACACAAGTTGAAGCTGCCCGTCCCTGATTGAGTGAGTGGACGTTTACTGATATGTATCATAGATACAAACAAGGAACGGGTTAATATTTTTGAAAGCTTCGTTGTGCCAGGCGACAGTTCCAACATTGAATGCTATTTTTTGTCTTTCTCGAGTTTCTTCATGTGCGAAGCGCAACCGTCATTTCGTGTTTAGGACAGGGCTGTGTAACCATCATGCTGACTCGGACAGTATGAATTGGCCCCGCCGAACACAAGTACCTGCGAACCGTAACAAGGCCCCCAATGTCGCATTTATATATAAAAATGGGTTAAATAGGTGCATTATTAGAACTATCGATAAAAAAGGGTGTGTTTAATGCTCTTAGGGAGCACGATCACTAATTATAATATACACTGCCAAATGATATACACTGCCAATTTTCAAGCATTACTTATTAACTTTTTTCGAGATAAGCTGTGATACTAAACGATGTGCCTATATAGTTAGCAGACTCGTTTCGATGTGCACATAATGCTAAAGTTTATTGAACTGACCTGTTTTGTTGACAAGCGTCGATGCAGTATGTTGTTACCAACATCATCACCTGCTATACCATTCGTCCATCGTCTCCTGTGAAATCATCGTTACCATGACGGCAAATGGAATGAACCACAAGAAGGAACCATGGTCGAGTAGGTAATATATTAATTTGTACTGTATCCTCGTTCTGATTTAAATATAATAAAGTAAATACAACTACACATGTACATTGTTTAACAACATTATTCTAATATTCTTAACTTGAACAGTTGTATAGACTGTCGCACCGTGACGTCATATGTATACTTTTTTTGCTTGCATTCGAGTATCTGCAATTAATGTCTCTCACTGACCAGCACTAGTTTGCGATCTACTGTGACAACATTGCCTATAAGATGTTTTATTAACATGGAAGTATACATGTATATTTAATAACGGAAACAGCGAACAAATGTTGCATTTGTATCCTAGACATATATTTTCTTTTAGGAAATATGTGTGAATTTCACAGCGTAGAATAACATGTCTTTACGTCCCTGTATGTTACGGCTATACACACACATGGATATATATATATATATATATATATATATATATATATATATATATATAATTTACACATGTGGTGGTATATACTATTTATAAGGCGACAATAGGAATTTGGCCTGCCACCCACCGTGGCGAGTGTGTGGGTCACGGTGTGCTTCTCAACATATCGTGGACGAACTAATACCGAATACATATAATTTACCTTATATTGTGTTGTGTTTCTTTTAAACATCATTAAAACATATTGCTATTACGCTGCTTTAACAGCCGCTTAATCTAAATATATACTCGAGAGGCAACCTTGTTGCACAATTGGGTTATCGGTCATAGCGGCTTGTCAAGATATTCGAAGTCAATACGAGGCTTAACGTTCAAACTCGAACACTGACAAACAACAACCTCACTTGTGTGCTATAAAACCGACGTTTCTTCCTTACATGTTCTAATTAATCTCGTGGGCCAGTATCTCCCGCCACTTGGTGGTAGCTCATTCCGGTCGACTGATGCAGTGTCCTTTAAATAAAATATAAACTCGTCAACGAATGACGTCATCAGATTTTAATCTCATAATTTTTATTTCCTAAATTACTGCTAGCTGTCGGTAACGGGCTTATTGGAAATTTAAGGAAATGTGACATGCAATATATCACTGTACTTCTAATAGTAGGACTCATGCCGGAATTGCGTCACGTGCAGGGTACGATATGTTTTAGACTGGAGCAGACGCCATGTGATTTGTACGCAACAAAGAATGATTGCCAAGCCTCAATTCCCCACTGCGGTATTAACGATGCAATATGGATGAAAACATGTAATTTGTAATATTATCTGATACATCATGATTACGATTTACTATGAAATAAAACATGCTGCCATCTCTCATGTTCAAAAACGCCACGCTGATTGGACGAGGAGCTGTCACGTGGAATGAAACGAAACATGTTGTTCGCAGCACACAATTTAGTATCTGTTCAATGACCAACATTTCGAATACGCGTATGAGTTGTTTTGGTACGTATCAATAGTCGCGCATGCGTATTAATGATTACAAGTTTCCAGTTTTTATCAAACTAATACTCATTTTGTGTGCTGGAAAAAAACATTTTAAATTTACGACGGAGTAATTCAATTGCAAGGTGCAAGGTGTTGCATCTAACAACAATATCAAGAGTAACATTCTCATAGAAAAATATTCTCATACTGTATATATTAATCCTAATTGTAAATGTAAATATACGTTCCTTTTTGTTAAACCGGAATTGATACGACATTTTTCAAATATTTCCTGTACAATATTCCATAGATAGACTGCATGTCTCATAGTTTGTTATACCATGATCGTAAAAACAATTTTACAAACTCCCGAACCATGGCAACCTACTTTCTTTGCATGATAAACTTAAGACGGCAAATGGCCGCCGAAATCTCGTTGAGACCGCGAGAGCCACGAGACTTGTGTCCGTTATCTTCTGTTATTGCGTTCACTGTTCAAAATACCATGGCTACATAGATCAGGTGAACAGTTAACAGACGCGGGGTTAAAAAAAAACAAGTCCCGTCACTCCCTTGCTCGCATCGATATTTCGGCGCCTATTTGCTTTTATTTATATTACTGTAAATCATACCAAGTTAACTAAAATGACAAACCAAGTCATACCAAACATAGTGACAAATTAATTTAAATATAATAATTTTGAAATACAAAATGAAGTCGC